CTTGATAAACATAGATGTAAAAATCCTCAAAACAAAAACAAAAACTAACAAACCAAATCTCCTAAATCCAGCAGCACATTGGAAAATCTATCACCATGATCAAGTGGGATTCATCCCAGGGGTGCAAGGATAAATCATCATACACACATTGATAAATGTGATACATCACATCAACAGAATGGAGGACAAAAACCCTATGATCATCTCAATATGTGCAGAAAAAACATTTGATAGAATTCAACATCCTTTCATGACAAAAACTCTCACCAAATAAGGTAAAGAAGGAATGTACCTCAATACAGTAATGGCCATACAAGACAAACCCACACCCAAGATCACACTGAATGAGGAAAAGTTGAAATATTTTCCTCTAAGATACAGAACAAGACAATGATTACTTTTGTTCAACATAGCAATGGAAGTTCTGGCCAAAGCAAATAGGCAAGAGAAAGAAATAACTGGCATCCACATTGGAAAGAAGGCAGTCAAACTGTCGTCCTTTGCAGATGACATGATCTTATATACAGAAAACCCTAAAAGCTCGATCTAATACTCCTAGAACTGATAAATTTAGTAAAGTTGAAGGATACAAAACCAACATACAAAGATCAGTGGTATTTCTATACACCAACAACAAACCATCAAAACTGGAAATCAAGAAAGCAATCCCATTTACAATAGCTACAAAAAATAATACCTAGGAAATAAATGTAGCCAAAGAGGTGAAATATGTCTACAAGGAAAACTATAAAACACGGATGAAAAAAACTGAGGAGGATACAAATAGACATCCCATGTTCATGAATTAGAAGACTTAATATTGTGAAAATGTCCATACTATCCAAAGTTGTCTGCTGATTCAATGCACTCCCTATCAAAATACCAATGACATTATTCACAGAAATGAAAAAAAAAATTTTTTTAATTTGTGCAGAACCACAGAAGACTCCAAATAGCAATAGCAGATCCTGAGCAAAAGGAAAAAAGTTGGAGGCATCACACTACCAAACTTCAAAATAAAGGCAATAGTAATCAAACCAGCATGGTTAGACATAAAAATAGATATGCAGACCAATGAGAGAGAACAGAGAACCCCATAATAAATCTAGTTATTTACAGACAACTGATTTTTGACAAAGGAGCCAAGAACATTAATAAGAGAATGATAATCTCATCAATAAACTGTGCCAGGAGAACTGGATGTCAATATATGAAAAATGAAACTGGACTCCTATCTCTCACCATAAAAAAAGTCAATTTAAAATGGACTAAGAACTTAAAAGTAAGACCCCAAACTGTGAAACTGCCAGAAGAAAACACAAAGGGGATGCTTCAGGACATTGGTTTGGTGAAAGATTTTATGGAGAAGACTTCAAAAGCCCAGGCAACAAAAGCAAATATAGGCAAATGGAATTCTATCAAACCGAAAATCTTTTGCACAGCAAAGGAAACAATCAACAGAGTGATGAGATAATCTGCAGAATGGGAGAAAACATTTCAAAACTATCTGACAAGGGATTAATATCCAAAATAAATAAGGTATTTACCTCAATAGCAAAAACAAAAAATCAAAACAACAACAAAAAAACCCAAGTAACCTACTTGGAAAATGGACAAATGAGCTGAATAGACATCTCTGAAAAAAAAAAAAAAAAAAAAAAAAACATACAAATGGCCGGCAGGTATATGAAACAATACTCACCAGTACTACTCATCAGAGAAATGCAATTTAAAAGCACAAGGAGATATGACCTCATATCTGTTAGAATAGCTATTATCAGAAAGATAAAAGATAACAAGTATTAGAGAGAATGTGGAGAAAAAGGAATCCCTGCACACTTTTGGTGGGAATGCAAATCTGTGCAGTCATTATGGAGAATAATATGGAGGTTCCCCAGAAAACTAACAACAGAACTACCATATGATCCAGCAATTCCACCACTGGGTATATATCCAGAAAGAATGAAATCAGTATGTAAAAGAGATATCTGCACTCTCATGGTCATTGCCTCACTATTCACAAAAGCCAAGATATGGAATCAACCCAAGTGTCCGTCAACAGATGAAATAATAAGGAAAATACAGTATATATACACAATTTAACCATAAGTAAGAACGAAATTCTGTCATTTGTGGCAACATTGATGAGCTTGGAGGACATTATGTTAAGTGAAATAAGCCAGGCACAGGAAGATAAATACTGCATGTTCTCATTCATACGAGGAAGTTTAAGAAGTTGATCTCATAGAAATAGAGAGTAGAATAGTGGTTAGTAGAAGCAGAGAAGCATAGAGGGGTGGAAAGGATAGTCAAAGATTGGTTAACAGATACCAATTATAGCTACATAGGAGGAATAGGGATTCGTGTTCCGTGGAATTATAGAGTGAATATAATTAACTATTTATTGTGTATTTTCAAATAAGAGAGCAGTTTTTGATCTTCCAAACATAAAGACATGATAACTGTTTGAGGTGATGCTAATTACCTCAATTTAATCATTATACATTGTATACATGTATCAAAATATCACACTATGCCCAATATGAACAATTATTATATCAACTAAAAATAATAAAAGGAAAAAATTTTGAGTTATAGACCATAATTGGAAGAAACATTGCATAAGAAAACCATTCAGGATGAAATAGGCTTGGTACGATTATTATGTCTATTAAAAATAATGAAAAATTTTGAGTAATAGATAATTACTGAAAGAAAATTGCATAAGAAAGCTATGCAAGATGGAAAATGCTAGGATGGGCTAGGCCCTAACTTCTTGGCCTCCAACCAGTTTTCACTGTAGTCTCCATAGTGGTAACTTGCTAAGTGTGGTCTGCAGATCATCAATGTCAGAATTATCTGAAATCCCATATAAACAATACAAATTAAGGGGTGGCATCAAAGACTTAGTCAGAAGCTGAGGTTTTCATAAAGTCTTTTGGTAATTCTTTTGTTCACTAACACTTTAAAACCAGATATTCTATAAGACAACTTGCCGATAATCTTTAAAAATGCTAGGGTTGTGAATGACAAAGAAAGGCTGAGCCAATGTTCCAAATTAAGAGAATAAAGAAATATGATAGTACAATGCAATTCATGATTCTGAATTACACCTTGAATTAGATAGCAAGTTTGTTCTAAAGAACACTATTGTGATATTTGGCAAAACTGAATTATATATGATACAAAATAGTATTGTATCAACTTGAATTTCCTGATTTTAATGTAAGAGAATGTTCTTTTTCTTAGAGAATATATGTGGAAGGTTTTTAGCGATAAAAGAGCATGCTACAACTTGTACTCAAATGGATAATGGGAAAAAAGATAGATAGGGAGAGAGAGAAATTTTTTACTATTCTTGAAATTATTTTAAAATTAAATGTAAAAAAAAATAGAGAAAGAGAAAGCCTAAAGAAAAGACAGTACCAGTCTTAGGATAATGCCAGTCCAACCCCTGTTAGATGACTGGGAATCACTGAAAGGCTTTAGGCAGTGGTGTTGCATAGTCAGATTTGCATTTCTAGCAAATCACTTTGACCGTAGTATGAAGGGTGTAATTAAAATGACAATATTGGTGGCAGGGAGACTGACTAGAAAACAATAGTACACCTGGTAAGTGGATGACGATAAGAATCTGAAAAGAATGATGGTAGTTAAGACAGAGAAAAAGATTATGAGGTAAAATCAGCTGGATTCAGTGGCTGAGTGGATATGAGGGACAGAAGTGAAAGTGAGAAAAAAGGATACCGATCAGGTTTGTAGCTGGAGTGGTTATGGAGATAGTACTACCGTCTATGTTATTGAGAATATGGGAGGAAGAGAATTTAGTGTGGAATTAGATGAATTTGAATTTGGATATGTGGGACATCTGTGTGGTGATGCATAGCAGATAGTTAAACATAAGGGTCTGAAGCATTGATAAGATGTCACATACAATGTATGTATATGTATATGTATATATGTATACATACACACCCATATATATGTATTCACACATGCATACATACAAAGTATAACAATATGACATAATCAAGATCAAGAATTCGTGAAAGGCTGTGTCTAAGAAGATTAAATTTAAATTAAACAGGAATGAATTTAAGGTCAAGCACAATGAATTAAATAATAAGTGAAGAAGTAAAGAATGGAGGAGATACGACTTAGCAGTAGCGCTATGAAAACAAAACATTAAAGGTTTGAGTGTATGAAATCCAATATGTCAATATTTTAGGATAACTTTCAGAGGAAGAAATATAATCTTAAACCGCATTAGTGGAAACCTGATATCTATAGAGGAGCAAATAAAAATGAGGATATATTTTACACTGTGTTCGGTTTCATTTAAGCTTGAACAGCAACAAAAAAGAGTAAAATAAAATGGTAAAGGTTGAATCACGGTGTTTTATGGATGGTTGAAAGAAACGGGAAGTTTCAGGGAAATACATGACAGCTTTTTAAAAAATAGATCAGGTATTAAAATTGCATTATTTCAAGGAGAATTGGGGAAGATGAGTCCATCGGAATTATTTACCTTTAAGGTTTCTTCACTATTTTCTGTTATTAGAGAGAACAGATTAAAAGAAGTGGATGACATTTACAAGAACACATATTTTTAAGTCAAAATAAAATAAACCGTTTCAAAGCTATAACTCTTTAGTAATGGAATGAATTATATTGCAATTTAGTAAAGTAGTTGTCACCAAGCGTAGTCAACCAAAGGTTGGATGAGCCTGGGACCTGACATGAGTAGAAGGTGAGACTGGAGGACTCTCAAAGTTTCTCTCTGCTCTAAGATTTGATAAGATGGGAATGAAAATATTAGACAATGAGATGAGTATTCTTTCGTTTTGTTTTGTTTTTGACTGGGTGAAATTAAAAGAAAGCAAATTGACATACAGTAAATTTCTACTGATTTCCCCTGTGTATTTCTAGAGCTAGAGAGAAAAATAGCATTCAGATCATAGGGGACCACTCATTACTGTCTGTGTTCCTATTTTACTCACCCAAACCTTGATCAGGTAACTGGCTTCTGAAATAATCAACCATATAATTATCTGCTTCATTTGGCCTTGCATCTAGAGAAGATGGTAAAGATCATAGTAGCATGAAAATATTCATTCACTCATTTACATTTCATATTTTTCATCTTTCTCAAACTGGAAAATGCTAGCAAATAACTTATAGACAGTAGTAGTTCAATAAAATTAAAATAAGCAGTCTTCAAATGTTACAAATTTTTGTTGCATTTAAAAACATACCTTTTGGGTGAGCAATTCCTTTTCTAGGAACTTATAAAAAATAATTAAGAATACACACAAATAGAGAGTTATAAAGTTTTGATTGTTATTTATAACAGGAAGAAAATTGGAAACAAAATGTAAGTTTAATAATAGGGGTGGCTTAATTAATAGAATGGAATACTTTGCCACCATTTATTTACATATAAAGAGGTTTATAATAGACTGTAATTTAAAATTAAAAAGTAGGTTGCAAAATAATCTGACTATTATGTGATTCATTAACATGGTGTGTTGTATGTGGCTAAATATAGGAAAGGGTCTAAAATAAATATCTTAAAATGTAATTTTTACTTTCTTTTGCTTATCATCTTTATTTCTAATTTTTGACATTAAAATATTAACAAACAAATACATAAAAGTTACATATAAAAGCAGCTGAATTGCTTGGCTGAATTGTCAGAAAAATAAAGTTTAAGTGAATTGATTATTTTAATTATAACAGTATACTTCCCTTTCCTAGGCATGGTTCTTAGTTCTTATCTCCATTTATACTTTTAATTATTTTGCTGCATCATAAACTAAATGTATATATAAATGTGTGTGCATGTGTTTATAATTAGGTTACCTCAAATCCTTTCGGGAAATAGGTAGATAAAAATGTACAATATATTAATTATTTTAGATAAAATAGAAATATTGCTTAAATTATATGATTTTTTCCCCCCAGAGGACCTCAACTAAAGATAAGGTGATGAAAATTAAGAAAAAAAAAAAACCCAGAGAGTCAGTTGAAGATTCACATCAGACTTAGCAGGTTGCAGTAGAAGCCAATGAACAGTCTGTGAACCTGTTTTCTCTCCAGGGCTTATATCCTATTAAATTTTGAAATGAGAGGAAAAAGATGGTTTTTAAAACATAAAATCCCTTTCCCTTTGGGGATATACCTTTCAAAACCTCAAGGATAGCCCTCAAATACGTGGCCCTCTCTGTTCAGTGTAATTGACCACTCCTTTCCTCTGTGCTCCCTGGGAACCCTGAACAGACTACTGGCATTGTGTCTATGACACTGCACTTGGCTTGTTGTGTTTTCTTTCCTAAGAACGAAAGGATGAGGTCCTGCAGGAAAGGAATCGTATCATGGAGTTTTAATATCCCTAGCACCAAGCACATGGCAACCTCAAAGTTGTGGCACCAAAAATTCTTAGTTGAGTAAATGAATTAATTGTTTAGGAGAAGGTAGAAGCAGAATATTACCTTTCACGTCAGAATTTGATTCTTTGTGTCTTTGCAGTAAATGTCCTCTATCATAAACCTAATGGAATGTAGAACCAGAAAGCAAACAATACTATGTTATCAACATAAAATGGGGTATATTTCCTATATGATTTATGGTATTGTGCATTTTTAACAGGCATTTCTCATTTCATCCTTACAGGTTTAGAATGACCAAAAATATCTCATCAATCAGAATCTTCTAATTTTTTTCACTACACTACTTTTCTTCTGCATCAATGAGTAGAATAAAATATTGATACTATAGTTTGGCATTAAAGGGGGTTTAAAGATTTTCCACACCACATAGAGTTTATTTGTAATGAGAAAGAGACAAAAAATGATACACTTATAATCTCACTCATTTAAATTAGAAGAACAAACATATGGGAAGATAAAAGTGTAAAATGGGTGAAAAGATATAAAATTATGTACAAATACATAGACAGATTTCAAAACTGTGCTTATATATAAAAAGATGAGGCCGGGCATGGTGGCTCTCACCTGTACTCCCAGTACTTAGGGAGGCCAAGGTAGGTGGATCACTTGAGGTCAGGAGTTCAAGACCAGCCTGGCCAATATGGTAAAACCCAGACTCTACTAAAAATACAAAAAAAAAAAAAAAAATTCACTGGGCATGGTGGCGGGCACTTGTATTCACAGCTACTTGAGAGACTGAGGCAGGAGAAGTGCTTGAACCTGGGAGGCAGAGATTGCAATGAGCAGAGATCTCACCACTGTACTCCAGCCTGGGTGACAGTAAGACTCTGCCTCAAAAAAAAAAAAAAAAAAAAAAGATGAAAATCTTTTTCTTGAAGCTTGTAAAGAAGTACAAAGTTCCATATGAAGTTTAGGGTGTTTTTTTCCAGTTCTTTGAAGAAGGTCATTGGTAGCTTGATGGGGATAGCTTTGAATCTGTAAATTACTTTTGGCAGAATGGCCATTTTCACAAAATTAATTCTTCCTAACCATGAACATGGAATGTTTCTCTCTCTGTTTGTGTCCTCTCTTATTTCATTAAGAAGTGGCTTGTAGTTCTCCTTCAGGAGGTCCTTTACGTTCCTTGTTAGTTGTATTCTTAGGTATTTTATTCTCTTTGTAGCAATTGTGAATGGCAGTTTGCTCTTGATTTGGCTCTCTTGAAGTCTGTTATTGGTGTATAGAAATGCTTGTGATTTTTGCACATTGATTTTGTATCCTGAGACTTTGCTGAAGTTGCTTATCAGTTTCAGGAGACTTTGGGCTGAGACGATGGGGTCTTCCAGATATACAATCATGTCATCTGCAAATAGAGACAATTTGACTTCCTCCTTTCCTATTTGAATACCCTTTATTTCTTTTTCTTGCCTAGTTGCTCTGGCTAGAAGTTCCAATACTATATTGAATAGGAGTGGTGAGAGAGGGCATCCTTGTCTAGTGCCAGATTTCAAAGGGAATGCTTCCAGTTTTTGCCCATTCAGTATGGTAATTGGCTGTTGGTTTGTCGTAATAGCTTTTATTATTTTGAGATATGTTCCATCAATACCTAGTTTATTGAGGGTTTTTAGCATAAAGCGCTGTTGAATTTTGTCAAAGGCCTTCTCTGCATCAATTGAGATAATCATGTGGTTTTTGTCTTTGCTTCTGCTTATGTGGTGAATTATGTTTACAGACTTGCATATGTTGAACGAGCCTTGCCTCCCCGGGATGAAGCCTACTTGATCATGGTGGATAAGCTTTTTGATGTGCTGCTGCAATCAGCTTGCCAGTATTTGATTGAAGATTTTTGCATCTATGTTCATCATGGATATTGGCCTGAAGATTTCTTTCCTTGTTGAGTCTCTGCTGGATTTTGGTATCAGGATGATGTTGGTCTCATAAAACGATTTAGGAAGGATTCCCTCTTTTTGGATTATTTGGAATAGTTTCAAAAGGAATGGGACCAGCTCCTCTTTGTATGTCTGGTAGAATTCGGCTGTGAACCCATCTGGACCTGGGCTTTTTTTGGGTGGTAGGCTATTAATTGCTGCCTCAACTTCAGCCCTTGTTTTGGTCTATTCAGGGTTTTGACTTCTTCCTGGTTTAGGCTTGCGAGGAGGCAAGTGTCTAGGAATTTATCCATTTCTTCCAGGTTTACTAGTTTATGTGCATAGAGTTGTTTGTAATAATATCTGATGATGGTCTGTATTCCTGTGGAATCTGTGGTGATATCCCCTTTATCATTTTTTATTGCATCTATTTGATTCTTCTCTCTTTTCTTTTTTATTAATCTGGCTAGTAGTCTGTCTATTTTGTTGATCTTATTGAAAAACCAGCTCCTGGATTTATTGATTTTTTGAAGGGTTCTTTGTATCTCTATCCCCTTCAGTTCTGCTCTGATCTTAGTTATTTCTTGTCTTCTGCTACGTTTTGAGGGTTTTTTTTGGCGGGTGGGGGGGGAGGGAGGCACGTGGGGTGGGGCAGGGGAGGGCCGCAAAGAAAGAGAAAGAGAAAGCGGGAGAGAGAACAGAAGTCTTGCTCTATTGCCCAGGCTGGAATGCAATCTAAAAATAGATATTAAAAACCTCTTTTATGCCGATAATTGTACTTAACAACGGAGACAGGAAGGAATAAGGGAAGAAAATAACAAACAAACAGCCAACCAATATTTCATTTGGATCTGTGAAATGCTATGCAAATGCTGAAGAGTGATTTACTTCTATTTATATGGTCACTTTCAAAATAGGTGTAATGTGATACTGAAAAAAATGTATGTTCTGAGTTTTTTTTTTATCTTGCTCCTCTAGCTCTTTCAATTTTGACAATAGGGTTGTTGATTTTAGACCTCTCCTTGCTTCTTATGTTGGCATTTATTGCTATATATTTTCCTCTAGAGACTGCTTTAAATGTGTCCCAGAGATTCTTGTATGCTGTGTCTTCATTCTCGTTAGTTTTGAAGAACATCTTTATTTCTGCTTTCATTTCATTGTTTATCCAGTCAACATTCAAGAGCCAGTTGTTCAGTTTCCATGAATCTGCAGTTCTGAGTTAGTTTCTGAATTCTGAGTTCTAATTCGATTGCACTGTGGTCTGAGAGACTGTTATGATTTCTGTTCTTTTGCATTTGCTGAGGAGTGATTTACTTCCAATTATGTGGTCAATTTTAAAGTAGGTGTGATGTGGTGCTGAGAAGAATGATATTCTGTGGATTTGGGGTGGAGAGTTCTGTAAATATCTATTAGGTTTGCTTGGTCCAGGTCTGAGTTCAAGTCCTAGATATCCTTGTTAATTTTCTGTCTCGTTGATCTGTCTAATATTGACAATGGGAACCAAAAGAGAGCCCGCATAGCCAAGTCAATTCTAAGCAAAAAGAACAAAGTGGGAGGCATCACACTACCGGACTTCAAACTATACTACAAGGCTAAGTAATCAAAACAGCATGGTACTGGTATCAAAACAGAGATATAGACCAATGGAACAGAACAGAGGCCTTGGAGGCAACACAACACATCTCCAACCATCCAATCTTTGACAAACCTGACAAAAACAAGCAATGGAGAAAAGAATCCCTGAGGAAGATTTATATGCATTATATGTATATGCATTACATGTAACATATATGTACATCTATTACATGTATATGCACAGGTATATTATGTGTATATACATGCATATGTACATGCATGTTACATGTAATGCATATACATGTATATGCACATTCATGTTACATGTAATGCATATGAAACCAAAATAAAAGTAGACTATGAATGGGAGTTAAAGCTGAAACCCACCTCTTCATATATATAATCCATTGGCAGCAAAAAAATCAGCAAAATCAGAATGAAAAGAGTAAAATGTAAACATCAAAATTTGATTATTGAAGAAAGAAAAACATTCTAGAAAAAATATACAAATTTAAAAGTAGTGATATTATGTAATCACTAGGATCTGGCAAGACAAGGAGTGAAATCAGGTTGAAGAAAATTAGTAAGACTTGATTTGATAAACTCTTGTCATTTTCAGCCCTCATTGGAATGATTCTGTGAACCATAATAAAGTATTACACTATTAACCATAATAAACTATTACACAGAAAAATATCACCAGGTCAGTGATCTTATGCACATGAGCTACAATTTCTAACTACAGTAATTGTTTTTGTTGAAAGTCTTCAGAATCAGTAAGTGAGAGTGTCTTAGTGGGAAACAAAGTTAACTGAAATATTTTAAAAATAATTTACCAATTTTATTTTATGGATGTATTGAAGTCTTATAAGCAAACAAAGTAAGAATACTGACTTTGAAAGCATGAATTTAAGTTGTCCTAGTCATTTACTTGAGTGAAAATGAGATTGTTCACTCTTTTTGTGAAAGATGAGTAGAAATTTTAAGATAAGTGACCATGATCTCCTATTAGCTTATGGGCACACTTAGTATGTATGTAACTTTCTCAAAGCATTTGACCAAATGAAGATTATTTTCCATTTGGAAGTATTTAATGTTAAATATAATGATTTCATAAAATTTTAAAACCTCAAGAGGTTGCAATCAAGAAAGATGCAAATACATGAGCATTTAATATAAAGGGATTTATAATATTTTACATTAAATGTAGCTTTGATAGGTGAGGAAAAACACTATGTGAACTATTTATGAGAACTAAATAAATATGTCTTGCAATATATGCATTTCAAAAATCCCCTAAGAAAACCTATTTTGGTTATTGGGTCCTGCAAATGACTTAACACCGGGGTATCAATTAGAGAATGTTTCCTATAAAAAATTTTTAATTCCTATTCATATTACATTCTTGAAATAATGTAATTCTAGAAGGGAGAGCAGAGGGAAAGGAGCATTACTCCTTTATAGCCATCTCTGCTCCCTGCAGTACTAAGCCTCTGATGTTGATCCTCAGGAGTACAGACTTAGGTATATCCACATTCACTTGGGATGGGAGTGGTTTAGGCAGGGCTCTCTTTGTCTCCTCTGACCACATTCAGCTCTTCTTTTCAGACTAATCCAATCACATTTGGACCCCTTCAAAAGGATAGTTGCAGAAGTCAGTGTTTAAGATTTTTCTTGACTCCAGTTAGGGCTCCTGCTAGCTGTCTTTTTCTCCAGTTCTTTCTGGCAAACTAGTCAGTATTCAGTCTAGCTTGTAGTGCCAGTGAATCTACTAGGGTTGTTACAGTAGGTAGCGAATCAGGCATCAGTAGGGCAGGAGAGGACTCCAGTAAAACTCCACCAGGAACGTCAGGCATCGGGTGATAGTCAGGTGGTTGTTAACGCTCTCTCTAAAATAATAATTGGTTGCAGCCAATAATAATTGGTTGCAGCCAGCAGCAGGGAAAGGCAGGCTTCCTACTGATAGGAAACACCTGAGACTGGTGATCAGCAGCTTCATGATAAGATTCAGGAGTGAGCTCAAGCATGCGCATCAAGAAACAAAATGGCAGAGTTTAACTGGTATATGAACTTTTAAAGAATCTGACTCCGAGGCATAAGGCAGAAAAAGAGATTGAGACAAGTTTTAGGGCAGAAGTGGAAGGCAAGAACTGATGTTGCTGCGGACCTGTGTGGATTTGCTGCAGGTAAGATAACTTTTACCAGTAACATATTTGTCTTCCAGATTTTCTTATGTTTTTTCCTTTTTCTTTTTCTTTTTTTTAACCACACTTGCACTGGTTTTGAGAATGTCCTTAAGCTTGAACTTCTTTTTTTCTGGAAGAGATTAGGAGCTATTTGTTTCATGAGCTGAGTTTTCAGCAGGGCAAAATTTATAAGCTATGGCTTATGAGCTGGGCATGGGGAAATAGCACTCTTCCCTCCAAGTGATACCCTGCTTTAGGAGCTGAGCTCTAGGTGGAGGGGAGGCATTAGCTTTAGGTCTTTGCCATTTGCCTCTACCAGTGTGGAACCGTCATTTTACAAGCCAAGATAAAGGCAATCAGAGCCCAAAAATTCTCAATAGTGGAGCACGTGAAGTAGAGCCTCTGTCTCATGAATGGGGACTGGGAGAGGAAGGGAGCCCCCATCTCTTGTCTGCACTCACCTGACTTAGCAATGGGTAGCTGGGGGCAGAATAAGAAATACTGATATCCTGCGCCTCCCAGAATAGCCCTTTGGAGCTCTGGGGAAAGGGAACCATAATTTCTTGTCTACACTAGTGTGGAGTTTCTATCTTACTCAGCTGGGGAGGCAGGTGGGGGTAGGGGAAGAGACAGTCTTGACTGAAATATCACAGGATCTCATAGTTTTTAATGAATTTTGGTAGACTTTCTTGAATAGATTTTTGTTTCATTTACTGTATGCCCTCAAGACTATTTCAGAGACTTTAAATATCTGTTGTTGTTTGTTGTTGTGGATAATAATTTTCCCCAGTTTTGCTGGTGAATGGGTTTGCAGAGCTCTTCGTGCTGTCATGGTAGAAGCTGATCTTTCAGTACCACTATTTCTATTTTTATGTCCTTATATTCCCATTTAATTTTTCTTAGTTTTAATTTCTTTATTCTTGCTACCCTGGATGCATCTTTGTAAGCTTCCTCAAATACTTTTTAGAGTAAGGTAAACATGAATGCAATTTAAGTATGGCATCTTAATAAGGCCCACCTCTCATTTGTCAAGGATCTTTTGTGTTTTTATAAACAGTAAATAAGATGAACAAAATTTTAACTTCTCCCAGGGGAAAATTCAAGTATAAGAAGTGTAAGAGAAAATAACTTGCCATTCTCTTGCATTCATTAAAAAAGAAAAAACTTGTAATAACTAGGTTAACGAAGATTTACCTTTTGTCCTTCTCTGGCATTTTGCTGGCTTGCTATAGTAGAATTCCTTTCCTTATTTGTTTTCAAATGTTTTTTCTAAGGAAAAGAATCATACAAATCAATATTTAATCAACATATCAAATAGTACATATGCAGACATGCAACTATTTTGAGACTCCCACTTTTAAGAAGATGAGAAGTATTTTATTTCCCCCACTAACTACAACAAAAAATTCTGGGTATTATATAAGAAGCTGTAAAAGGTGGAAAGGAGAAGGCAGACTAGCTAAGGAGTTCAAGGCCAGAGAGTGGCATGACGGTGAGTTCACTGGGTTTTCTTTTTGCGTCATATATTCCCACTTTAAAGCTGGAGAGGCCAGCAACCCAGAAATGCCAATGAATGCAAAATTTTTAAAAAATCCCTACAAAAGCCTGTTCCTTCTAAGCCCAAGGACCAGGAGAGGGACAGCCTGTAGAGACCAAAACCTTTTAGATAATAACTGTTCTACTCCAGCCTAACACCACGGAAATGACTGTGATTCCCACACCCACCCTTGCCAACAAAAGCCGAGTGGAAGTGCCTCAACCCCTTTTTCCAGGCAGTGTCAGAGAAGGCTAAGCAGGGGACCAGGAAAATAAGCATGTGAAAAGATATTCAACATTTTTTTTTTTTTTTTAGACGGAGTTTTGCTCTTTCGCTCTTGTTACCCAGGCTGGAGTGCAATGTCTCGATCTCGGCTCACTGCAACCTCAGCCTCCTGGGTTCAAGCAATTCTCTTGCCTTAGCCCCCTGAATAGCTGGGACTACAGGCATGCACCACCATGCCCAGCTAATTTTTGTATTTTTAGTAGAGATGGGGTTTCACCATGTTGACCAGGATGGTCTGGATTTCTTGACCTGGTGATCCACCCGCCCCCGCCTCCCAAAGTGTTGGGATTATAAGCGTGACCCACCGCGTCTGGCCTTTCAACATTGTTTAACTGTTACGGAAATGCAAATTAAAACCACAATGAGATATCACAACACACTTGTCAGAATGACTAAAATAGAAAACAGTGACAACACCAAATTTTGGTGAGGATGCACAGAAAATGGATAAAGTGCTCTTAGGAATGTAAAATTATATATCCATTCTGGAAAACAGTTTGGCAGTCTGATAAAGAATTAAACATGTATGTATCATAACTACCAAACCACCTACCAACTGAATTGGGTTTTTTATCTCGGGGAAATGGAGACTTCTGTTCACATAATCCTGTACACTAATGTTATGTTTATAATGGCCCCAAACTGAAAACAACCCACATGTTCTTCAATAGGTGAATGGTTAAATAGGCTGTGGTAAATCTATAGCTTGGAATACTGCACAGAAATGAAAAGGAAGAAACTATGGATGTATGCATCAACTTGGGGGTCGGGGATGAGTATTCCAAGAAGGATGCCAAATGATAAAAGTCAATCCCAGCAAGTTACATATTGTGTGATTTCACAGAAATGTGAAAAACGTTTGTGAATGGTGAATGATACATGTACAGAAATGCAGGACAGATTTGTGGTTGACTGGATAACTACGAGGTAAGGACAGGAGGGAGTGGGTGTGGCTTTAAGAGAGGGATCCTTACAGTCATGGAAATGGTCAGCATTTTGACTGCATGAATACAAATACCCTTATCGTAACATAGCCTATAGTTTTGCAAGATGTTACCATTAGGGGAAACAGAAAACCGGGTCCTTGGCATCTCTCTGAATTGTTTCTCATAGCAGCAAATTAGTTAAAGTTAAAAATTTAATTTTTAAAAGTTAGTATTTAAATACTATTGTTTAATCTGTTTATTCTTTAAAAGGTAACATTTTTATAATGCTAGAAAAATATCTTGAAAAGGATGCCTATACCAAAATGTGGCACATAATTAATATCTGACCATTGTAGGGATTCATTTAGTTTTTGAACATGGTCACACAGAATACAAACTTGTTCTTTTTCCGGTTATTTTTTACTCCAGAGGGTGTGTGTGTATGTATAACTGCCCGAACTGTGGGCATGGGTATGAATATTTATCCATGAGTGTGCTGATATATATAACTGGGAAAGAGAAGGTGTTTGTGAAGTAAAGATTTGCATGGTATTTTAACAAACACACTAGAATATATAAGTATAATTCTTTAAAGTATTGAGGGTGGAAAGAGGAGAAAGGAAAAGATTGGCAAATGGAAGGAAAGGGAGAATGTGATAGCATAGGAGAGAATATAGAAGTAAAACATTTATTCTTGTGCTATGTGATTGTTTAAAATTTTTTTGAATTTGGACTTTGTTCAGATTTGTTGCTCATGTCCCTAGATCCCATTCTCTCTTCTTCTGGCAACTGTCTTTAATTTTGTGTGGGAATTTAATCCTACCCACTCTCAGTTCTTGAGGTCTGGGTGAATCCTCTGAGGGTCTGTCAAATAACCCAGGCTGAAGCCAATCAGCACAGTCCATCCTGTTAGTTACCGTGAGTGATTTATGGATTGACACATGTCTAAACCAGCCTGATAACAATCATCTTTGCTTTTTTCCCTCCAGCTTTGTTGAGGTCTAAATTGACAAATAAAAATTGAATTGTATGTATTTAAGGTGTACATGATGTTTTAAGTATATATTTTGAAATTACCACCACAGTCAAGCTAATTAACACATATGTCACCTCACATAGTTACCACCTTTTTTTTTATTTTTGTGATTCAAATACTTAAGACCTATTCTCTTAGCAGATTTCAAGTATATAATATAATATTAACTATAGTCACCGTATTGTACATTAGGTCTTCGAAACGTATTCATCTTACAACTGCAAGTTTATACCCTTTGCCTAGCGTCTCCCCGACCCCTGGTAATGACCTGTTCTCTATTAGGTCAACTTTTTTAGATTCCGTATAAAAGTGAGATCATGTAGTATTTGTCTTTCTGTATTTGGCTTATTTTACTGAGCATAATATCCTCCAGGTTGAAAGGCTAAATGATATTCTAGTATGTACACACACACACACACACACACACACACACACACACACCCTTCATCTTCTTTATCCATTCATCCACTGATAGACACTTAAGTTGTTTCTGCATCTTGGCTATTGCGAATAGTACTGGAATAAACATGAGAATGCTAATATCTCTTTAGCATCTGGGTTTCCATTCTTTTGGGTAAATACCAGATGGGCGATTGCTGGATCATACGGTAATTCACTTTTTAATTTTTTTTGAGGAATCTTCATATTGTTTTCCATAATGGCTGTACTAATTTACATTCTCACCAATAATGTACAAAGGCTTCATTTTCTCCACATCCTTGCAAACACAATTTTTTAACTTTTTGACCCAGCAGGTGTGAGATGGTATCTCATTGTGGTTTTGATTTCAATTTCTCTGATGATTAGTGATATTGAACAACTTTTCATATAACTGTGGGCCATTTATATGTCTTCCTTGGAGAAATGTCTATTTAAGTACTAAGCCCATTTTAAAATCAGCTTAGTGGGTTTTTTTGCTATTAAGTTGTAGGAGTTCCTTATAAATTTTGGAGATTACCCCTGTTCAAATGTATGATTTGCTAATATTTTCTTCCATTCCATAGGTTACCTTTTCCCTCTATTACATATTTTCTTTGTTGCACAGAAGCTTTTTAGTTTGTTATAGTCCCACTTGTTTATGTTTGTTTCTGTTTTCTATGCTTTTGGTGTTACAGCCATTAAATTATTGTCAAGATCAATGCCATGGAGCTTTCCCCTATGTTTCTTCTAGGAGTTTTATAGTTTCAGGTCTTACATTTAAGTGTTTAGTCCATTTTGAGTTGACTTTGTGTGTGTAGTATAAAAGTCCAGTTTCATTCTCTTGTATGTACATATCCGGTTTCCCAACATCATTTTTTTCTTTGATACAGGGTCTCATTCTGTAGCTCAGGCTGGAGGGCAGTGGCCCAATCATGACTTACTGTAGCCTTGATCTCCTGGGATCATTGATCCTCCCACCTCAGCCTCTGGAGAAGTTGGATAATTTTCTTATTTATTTATTTATTTTTTTGTAGAGATGGAGTCTCACTGTGTTGCCCAAGCTAGTCTCAAACTCCTAGGCTCGAGTGATTCTTCTGCCTTGGCCTCCCAAAGTGCTGGGATTACAGGTGTGAGCCACCACAGTTGGCCACCAATACCATTTTTTCAAGATACTCTCCTTTCTTCCTTGTATATTCTTAGCACCCTTGTCAAAGATCAGTTGACTGCATATGCATGGTTTTACTTCTGGGATTTCTATTTTGCTCCATTGTCCTGTGTGTCTATTTATATGCCAGTACCATATACTTTTGGTTATTGTAGCTTTGTAACATATTTTAAAATCAGGAAGTGTGATGCCTCCAGTTTTGTTGTTCTTGGTCAAGATTGTTTTAGCTATCTGAGATCTTTTGCGGTTCTATACAAAGTTTAGTACTGTTTGTTCTATTTCTGTGAAAAATTGTTATTGAAATAGGTATTGCATTGAATTTGTAGAGAGCTTTGGGTAGTATGGACTCTGACAATATTAATTCTTCTGATTCATGAACACAGAATATCTTTCCATTTATTTGTGTCTTCTTCAATTTCATCAACATTTTACGGTTTTCATTGCACAGATCTTTTACCTCTTGTTAAAAATTTCAATCTCGCTGGGCACGGTGGCTCACAAACCTGTAATCTCAGCCCTTTGGGAGGCTGAGGTGGGTGGATCATCTGAGGTCAGGAGTTTGAGACTAGCCTGATCAATATGGTGAAACCTTGTCTCTACTGAAAATATAAAAATTAGCCAGGCGTGGTGATGTGTACCTGTAGTCCCTACTACTTGGGAGGCCAAGGCAGGAGAATCGCTTGAACCTGGGAGGCAGAGGTTGCAGTGAGCCGTGATTGTGCCACTGTACTTTTTGAGGGAACTACTAGAAAGGGAGGATGTCTGAACCAGACTTAGTATGATGAGGATGTGAGTGGAGGCTGGACTTCTGTAGTTATTTTACCACCAAGAGAAGAAAGTCTGTCTTAGAATGGAACCAACAAAGAAAAGGCAGAAATGAGATGAAAGCAGGAGAAAAAAACCCTCCAGGATCTTAATGACATCATTTGAGCCCCTTATTTAAGCCATGACTAAAGGCATCCTTGTCCCTAGACTTTTTATTTAGTAATTCAACAAATTTCCCTTTTGACTAAACCATTTTGGAAGTATTTTTTGCCTCTTGCAATGGAGAGAGTCCTGATATATCTTCAAAATATGGTTTAGTAGCTAGAAAACGAAATTAAGTTTACTATTTTACCATTGTCCCCATGAAATGGAAAATCTAATCTCCAGGTACTCAGATCCCAAATTCTGGAGACTACCTTCTCTCCTTTCTATTTTTCAATCTTACAAACATGGCATCAGCAAATTCTCTTTTCACTGTCTTGAAAATATATCTAAAATTTGATCACTTCTCATTCCCTCTACTAGTATAACCTTGGTCCAGCCACCACTTTTATCCTGCCTGGATTACTATAAGAGTGCCCTAATTGGTCTCCCTTATGGGTCATCATAGTGGAATGTTAAACAAAGGTTTTAAATATATTTGCATTGTTTGGCTTGCCCTCTTGACCTCTTGTGATTAGCCAGAGCAGAATACACCCTAGCTGGCTGCTGGTCTGGGGGAAGAAAGAAAGGTGAAATAAACCTGAACCCAATCCACAACTGGGAGCTAAGTTTGGCTGATTTCTGATTAGTCCAGTAGCTGACCTGCAGATTCATGAACAAGAAAATACATGTTTGCTATTTTAAGCCATTGATAGTCTGAGGGTTTTATGCATTAAAATCTGAAAACTATGGAAATTGATATGCAGAAGTAGGATGCTGTCCTGACAAAACCTAAACTATGTCATAGTCATTGCTTTTTGTGACTGGATAGTAGGTAATTAGGAAAATACAGTAGAAAAATAGTGACACATTCACAAATACGTGGAAATTAAACAACATACTCCCGAACAGCCAATGGGTCAGTAAATAAAAGGAAATTTAAAAATATCTTCAGATAAACAAAAATGGAAATACAACATTTGATAAAGTATTAGAAGAAAGAAATGAGCTTGAAAAAGAATTAGATAAAGGAATTAAATTGAGAAGAAAAACAGAGTCCAAAATTCTAGAACTTGCGGGTTGACTTCAATGTAGCCTTAAGGCAAAGATCAAATTAAGATTGTGACTTTTACATTTCTGGTAGGCAGTCTCTAACATGAGTCTCTAGTGATCCATCTAATGTCTCCTAGTATCCATTCCTTTGTATAATCCTCTCCTCTTGAGTGTGGGCTGGATCTAGTGACTCACTTGTAATGAATGGAAGCTGGCAAAAGTGATGAAATTCTGCTTCTGAGATGAGGCAACCAAGAGACTGCAGCTTCCATCTCATATGCCCTCTCATCTTCTCTTGCTTACTGACTGATAGGAGCCAGACTCCATGTTGTGGGCTGCCCTGTGGAGAAGCCCACATAGCAAGGAACTGAAGGATACTTCTGGCCAATAGCCATCAAGGAATGGAGGAGTCTGGCCCAACAGCCTGTGAGAAACTCAATCTTGTAGAACCATGTGAGTGAACCTGGAAGTGTATCCTCCCTCAATTAAGCTTTCAGATCAGATCACAGCCTGGACAACAACCTCATTACAGCTTTATGAGAGACCTTAGATAGAAACATCCAGCTGAGACATTCCTGAATTCATGACACAGAGAAACTATATGATATTAAATGTTTGTAGTTTTAAGCTGCTCGGGTTTGGAGTATTTCCTTACCAATAAAAAATTAATAAACAACCCTTGAGAAAACCTAAATTATTAAGATAGCATCTAATCCTTGTAGTTGGATAAAATGACTCTCAGAAAGCTTAAGTATGTGGTCTTGTGAAATGCCTGAGTAATTTATGTTTTTTGTGTCGACCCATATTTCAAAAAGAATTGAGTGTGGTTTTGAGTTGTGAGGTTTACTGGAATCAAATATACATATAACCTATAGTTTTCTTAAGAGCTGTAATGATAAAAATATTGTCAGCCTGAATTAAAAGGACTGTCGCTATTCAAAATGAACAAGAATTTTTTGAATTTCCAACTTTTTATAGGTAGGAATCGGGCTGAGAAAGATGTACAGCCATCAACATGAGCATATGCTCAAAGCTTTCTAGAAAAATGGTTAAGGAAGCTGGGTGAAGGGTAGACAGGAACAGTCCATACTATCTTTCACTACCTTGGCAACTTTTCTGTAAATCTGAAATTATATCGACATAAAAGCTTATTTTCTTTAAAAAAGAGTAGGGGGCAAGACTATATACCCATGGATGTGTTTCAGTCTGCAAATCCTCTCTTCTGAAGGACATGAAACAAAACAAAACAATAACAACAACAAAAACAAGTCAGGGTGGGGATAGCTCATACATGTGCACAATAAAGTTTCAGAATTGTTTTGATTCTGTGACTGCTACATTCTTTTTTCTTGAATGGGGGTGTGCATTATAATTTTCTTATCTTTGCTTTACCATAATAGATTGGGGGTGTGTGTGGGGGAGGTGGTGGGAGGCAGTTCAGATGACTTGTCTTGTTATTTCACAAGTCTCTGAATCAAGAGGTGATAACTCCAGACCTGATGTGGATTATGATGTGGACTATGAGGCTGGTAGTGTGATTGGATGAATCTTCCGGGATATTTTAGAGAGGCAATGAATACTAGCACATTTTGTATTTGCATGGAAAGTGAATAACCTTGATTCAGAAGGTTGACTCTGGAATATTGGATTGTTGTTTCCAATTCTTCACTCCTTTGCAACTGGACTATACATCCCTAGGCTTTGTCATATAATATTGTAGCATCTCCCACTATAGGTGTAGTATCCTTCCCCATCCTACTGATTTTGGGCCTGAATATGAGACTTACTCTGGTTAATGGAATGTTAGTGAGTAGAATGTTAGTGAATATGCTATAAAGTGCAGTTGTAATGTGACAGATAGTTGGCCAGGGGAAAATGTAGCTTTAAATGGGATTATATTGCTTGGTTTTCCCTTGTATACTCTGGGTTTTCACCATAGGATCTTGCCTGGGTATTCTCTAGCCCAAGGAAAATGAGAAACTTGCGGAACATAACTGAACTCGACCTGTAGCCTGAATCCAAGACCAGCTGACCTTGCCCATGTCTAACAGAGCCAAGCTGCAGACCCATAAGTGAGAAAATAAAAGTTTGTAGTAAGCCACTGAGGTTTTGAAGTTATGTAGCAAAAAGCAGTTAATACACCTAGTATCTACCTGGCTTGCCCCTCATTTCCTTTAAGTTCTGAAGTGTTTCTTAAGTATCTTTCACTTTGGGAACCCCTATCCAAAAGTGCAATCTCCTCCTAAACTCTTTATTCCCCCTCCTGCTTTAATTTACTCCTTAGGCACTTATCCCCATGTAATGCATCATGTATTTTACTGATCTTGATTATTGCGTATCTCCCCTAGCCACAATATAAGATAACTAAGGGAAAGCTGTTGTCTCATTTTGTTCGCTGCTCTATCCCCAGCACTCAGCCAGTGCCTGATGCGTAGCTGGAGCTTAATGTATAGTTGAATAATAAATGTTTAAATTAAGCAGTCGGGTGATGTATGTTAGGCTACCACCTCTGTCACTAGCAAGTTGCATGACTTTTAAGAAATAATTTCATCTCTATGAATCTTAACTATTCGCATCCATAAAGTAAGAATGTTAGAATAAGAAACGCTAAGGTTAAAGAAGTCTATGATTTAAAATATGTACATAGTTAGAAAATAAGCAGCAACGGTGATGATACAATAATTACATATCTGCAATTGTTTGGCCTGATCATTAGTCACAATAAGAACAGTACCTACACAGCATATCCACATATAAGCAAAAATACTCAGCCATACCTGAGAAGTTAACTTGAGAAGGTAAGTCTGAGAGTCAATGGATTCTGAACTGTCAGAGCCTCGGCTACTACAAAAAAAAAAGAAAAACAATTTAGTTTATACAGTGTTCTAGTGGCATCTTAAAATTTCAACTATTGCTTTTATTTATCATCTTATTTGAATGGTTGAAAAGTTCTTTTTTTTTTTTTTCTTGAGATGGAGTTTCGTTTTTGTTGCCCAGGTTGGAGTGTAATGGCGTGATGTCGGCTCACTGTAACCTCCACCTCCTGGGTTCAAGCAATTCTCCTGCTTCATCCTCCTGAGTAGCTGGGATTACAGGCATTTGCCACCACGGCCAGCTAATTTTGTGTTTTTTACTAGAGACGGGGTTTCTCCATGTTGGTCAGGCTGGTCTTGAACTCCCGACCTCAGGTGATCTGCCTACCTTGGCCTCCCACAGTGCTGGGATTACAGGCGTGAGCCACTGTGCTCCGCCAAAAAGTATTAATTACAAGAAGAAGTGGCCAGGCGCGGTGGCTTATGCCTGTGATCCCAGCACTTTGGGAGGCTGAGACAGGTGGATCACCTGAGGTCAGGAGTTTGAGACCAGCCTGACCAATATGGTGAATCCCCATCTCTACTAAAAATGCAAAAATTAGGTGTGGTGGTGCACGCTTGTAATCCCAGCTACTCGGGAGGCTGGCAGGAGAACTGCCTGAACCTAGGAGGTGGAGGTTGCAGTGAGCTGAGAATGCACCACTGCACTCCAGCCTGGGCAACAAGAGTAAAACTCCATCTCAAGGGAAAAAAAAGAATGTTTACAAAGGTGGTTTAGATGTTTAGTAGTTCCAAACAGCTTAGACACAGGGATTTTTGTAGAATGTGTGGAGAGATATAAAGGTCTGGGAATGTATTAATGAAATGTAAACTACAGAAAAGTAGGAATTTTTTTCTGTCTGGTTCACTGCTGTTATTACCAGAGTGGAACTAGTGCTGGGTATATAGTAGGCACTCAACAGGATTTGTTAATATGTGAATGAATAAATGCTATATCAGGGGAGTTTCCTAGATCTCGTGGGTATCATTAGCTCTTAAAATTCATTTATTTTTATATTACTATGTCCATTCTACATATGGCAATGCGGTACCATATGAAGCATAGTACCTCAAGAAAAAAGGGTCAAACAAGTCTATTTCTAATTATAATCATTTAATGCAGTGGTAGGAAAATGTTTTTGCTTGAGAGCCAATACAAGACATAAAACATTTCTGGGTTGTATTTTTATGTATTATTTTAAAATTAATATAATTTATGTTTTTAGAAAAGTTCTAGGTTTACAGAAAAATTGAGGAGGTAGTAGAGCGTTCCCAAACACATGCCCCCATTCCCTGCATAGCTTCCTAAATTATTAACATCTGGCGTTATGTGGTACATCTGTTACAACTGATTAAACAACATTGATACCTTATTAAAAATAATAGTTTACCTTAGGGTTTACTCTTGTGGTGCACATTCTATGAGTTTTGACAACTTTATAATGATGTATATCATCATTACAGTATCATAAATAGTAGTTTAACTGCCCTAAAATTCCTCTGTGCTCCATCTATTTATTCTTTCTTCTCGCAGAGCTTCTAGCAACCCAGTGTCATATAGTTGGGATCATACAGTATGTGGCCTTTCAGACTTACATTTTTCACTTGGCAATATAAATTTAAGGTTCTGCCATATATTTTTTTATGGTTGGATAGCTCTTTTAGAAAAAAATCACTGAATAACATTTCATTGTCTAGATGTATGTTTCTTTATCCATTCACCTACTGAAGGACATTTTGGTTGCTTCCACTTTTGGGCAAGCATAGATAAAGCTGCTATACAAACGCAATTGCTGAATCAAGTGGTGAGACTATGCTTAGCTTTGTAAACTGCCAAACTGGCTTCCAAAATAGCTGTACTATTTTGGACTCCCACTAGCAAAGAAGGAGAGTTCCTGTTGTTCCTGATCTCGCTGGTAGTTGGTATTGTAACTGCTTTGGATTTCAGCCATTATAATAGGTGTGTCATGATATTTCACTGTTGTTTTAATCTGTAATTTTCTAATGAAAAATGGCGTCAAAGCATCTCTTATTTTTACTTTTTTCAGATGTGAAGCATCTTTAGACTTATCAATTTTTTTTCTTTCATGGATCATGATTTTGTCATATCCAAAAGTCATTACCAAATTCAAGATAATTTAGATTTTCTCCTACGTTATCTCTTAGAAGTTTTATAGTTTTGCATTTTACCTCTAGGTCTATAATTCATTTGAAGTTAATTTTTGTGAAAGGTGCGAAGTTGCTTCTAGATTCATATATTTGCCTGTGCATGTCCAGTTGTTCCAGTAACATTTGTTGAAAAGATTTATTTCTACATTTAACTACCTTTGTTCTTTTTCAAATGCCATTGACTATGTTTGTCAGTGGTGACAAATATAGTTTGTTCTTTCTCTAGTACTGTACTGTTTGAATTATGTAGCTTATATATGTAGCTTTATAGCAAGTCTTAAATTCAAGTAGTGCAGGTCCTTAGATTTTGTCCTTCTTCAGTATTGTGTTAGCTGTTTCAGGTCTTTTGCATACCCATGCAAATTTTAGAATTAGTTTGTCTATAGTCACAACATAGCTTTCTGGGATTTTGATTTAAATTTCGTTGAGTCAAAAATCATGCCAGGAGGAACTGACATCTTAACAATATTGCCTTCCTATCTGTGAACACAAACTCTCTCTCCATGTATTTAGATTCTCTTTGATTTCTTTCCTCAGAGTTTTGTAATTTTCCTCATATAGATCTTACACATATTTTGTTAGCTTTAATCCAAATATTTTAAATTTTTGTGCTAGTGTGGATGGTATTTTGTTTTTAATTTTAAATTCCAATTGTTCATGGCTGGTATATTGAAAGGCAATTGTATATTAACTTTGTATCTTTAAATCTTTCTATAATTGTTAGTTTCAGGTTAAAATTATTTGATATTTTCTACATGGATAATCATGTCCAGTGTGAACAAAGATGAGTATTTTAACTAAATTTAAATTTAAAATGCCACTTTTCAATATTTGTAGAATAGTGCCCAAGCAGTGCTTAGAGGGAAATTCCTAGCATTGAATGCATGTATCAGAAGAGAAGAAAGCTTTAACAGGAACAATCCAAGTGTCCACATGAGGAAGTCAGAAAAGGAAATAGAAACCTAACGCAAGCAGAAAAAAAAAGAGAAATAATTTAAAAATCAGTGAAACTGAAAACAGGGAATCAATAATCAATGAAAACAAAGGTGATGCTTTGAAAAGATCAATAAAATTGATAAATCCCTAGTCAGGCTAATCAAGAAAAAAGAAAGGACACAATTTACTAACATCAGAAATAAAAAGAGTTATCACTACTGATGCTATGGAAATTAAAGAGATAAAGAAGGAATATTAACAACTATGTGCTCACAAATTTTATAGCTTAGATGAAACAACCAGATTCTTCAAAGACACAATCTACCAAAACTCACACTGGGAGATATATAGATCTAATTCTAATACATCTATTTCAATTGAAGAAATTGAATTGAGAATTAATTAAAGAATGAAGCTATGCCTTCTACATGTATCTGCATGCAAAGTTCTTAAAACATTTGGAAGCTTTCATTTGAAATTTTTTTATATCTCTGGAAAAAGTAGATGGTGGTTATTATGTTCCTTTTTCAAAAGGGCAATATACATAAGTAGCACATTTGTAATATTTCTGCATATTTAAGGACGAAACTTTCTTCAGTATATATTAGATGTTATATAGTTTCCAAAATAACCAACATGGAATGATTCTGTAACCTCAAAAAACAGTCCACAGACTTCTGTAGACTATTGATTGGTGCTAGGAAATCAAGCTTATGTCCCAATTTACCATAAATCCCTGAATTTCTTAAAAGGTATTCTAGATAGATAACACATGATATATATTATTTATATAGTATTTTATAGCGCCAAGTTATAGAGCATCTACTAATACATTATCTTATTTGATCTCACTTCTATCTCTTACCCTGACTTAGAACCACATTTACAAGTAGATAGTTTTCAAATATCGCATGTTCTCACTTATAAGTGTAAGCTAAACAAAGGGTACACATGAACATAAAGATGGAAATAACAGGCACTGGGGACTCCAAGAGTGGAAGGAAGGTGGGGGAAAGGGATTGGAAAACTACCTATTGGGTACTACGTTCACAATTTAAGTGATGGGTTCAGTGGAAGCCTAAACCCCAGCATTTGCAATAAATCCATGTAACAATCCCATGCATATACCCCCCTGAATCTATTAAAAAAGACTAATTGAAAAAAGTAGGTGATTTTCAAATGTTCCATTTGAGGACAGACTGAGTAAATTATGATATAACCACACTGTGGAGTACTACACGGAAATAAGGAAAACACTTATATACTGAAAAATCTACAATGATTTTGAGAATATCGTAAGTGAAAATAGCAAGATATGGAACCATGCTTTCATATAAGGTACAGGGAAATGAAAATATGTAGTTATTCATCCATATTTTCAAAGTAGAACAATAAAAGAATAAGTAAAAAAACTAATGAAAATGGTTACCCATGGAACAAGGGAGGAAACAGGGTAGGTGGGGGTGGGGTAAATCAACACTTCTTTGAATGCCCTTTATTAGATAACTTTGATGTTCTAATGTGAATGGGTTACGTAATTTAAAAACAAAACATTAAATAAAAAGTTATTCCTAAAAATTAATATAATCAAAACCAAAAACACTTAACTGTCAGACTGGTGGCATAGCCACATAGAGAAAATAATCTCTTCCCTTCTAAAAAATATTTTATACTAAGCTTAAAAAGAATTACAAAGAAATGTTAAACTGCATTCAATAGTCATTTTATTGGTAGCATTATTATGGGTATATGATAGGAAAAGGAAGAAGCAGGTAAATATTTACCCTAATGCAATTAGGAATGAAGATTTTTTCAGTATAAGAGAAAACAGACAGAAGCATAAAAATAAGGAAGAAGAAGTTCTATAATCTTAAATTTGGACTGGAAATATGAACTGAAGATTTTTTTCTCATGGAAATATGTTTCCTTACTTAATCCTTTGGGAAAAATAACCTAGAAGCAATAATAACTACCCTAATAACTACCCTCTAGGCTATGTTATCTAAATACCCCTTTTCACTGAAAAGAACCAGGACTTCTGAGAGAAATGGTAGATTCCAGTTCTAATGTAGGAAATGTACAAGATGAGCCTGGGAAATTTTATCATGGTTGAAAACTGAAGACTCTGAGAGTCATATAAAAAAAAATACGGGCCAAATTAATTGGTCTTGTCCAGATTTGGGAAAATTTGAGCATTCATATAATAATGACTGAAATTGATTAGAGCACGTCAAATATTATATAAGCAAATTTATGAGCTCAAAATGATACTCTTCATCTAGAAACAAACTTAGTCACCAGGGAAGGTTGCAGGGGCACTAACTCAAGACTGAAAAATGTATAAATATAAGAAGAATCATACATTTGTTTTACCTTTCCTGTAAGTACTGTACTAAAATTAGTATATTATTTCTTCCAGCTATATTCTCCTAGAATTGAATTTTCCAGTTATTATTAATTACCTTTTACTATACTGTTTTTGTGTCATCTCAATAAAATGTCAGTTCTCTGTGGGTAGTAACAGCATTAGAAACAATTTAAAGAGAAGAAAAGATGAAAAACTATAAGACTAATAGAAAACAACAAAATGATAATAATAAATCTTCTATCAATAATGAGCTTACATATAAATGGACTAAACTCCTCAGTCAAAGGACACAGAATGGCTGAATGGATTAAAAAAAGAGAACCCAACTACAATCCATTTACTCCCTTTAGATTTAAGGACATACATAGGCTGAATTAAGGCATGGGAAAATGTTCCATGCTAAAATGGTAACTAAAAGAGAGTAAGAATAGCTATACTTATATCAGACAAAATAGACTTTAAGTAAAAAACTGTCATGAGAGACAAAGAAGGATATTATATAATGATAAAAGGGTCAATCCACTAGGAAAATTATAACAATCACAAATATATATGTGCCCAACATCAGAGCACCTAAATATATAAAGCAAACATTGATAGAACTGAAGGGAGAAACAGCAATACGATAATAGCAGGAGACTTCAATACCTCATTTCAATAATAGAATATTGACATAGATGATCAATAAGGAAACAGAGGGCTTGAACAACATTATAGACCAAATGGATCTAACAGACATACACAGAGCATTGTCCCAACAGCAGCAGGATACATATTCTTCTCAAGCACATCTGAAACTTTCCCAGGGATAGATCACATGTTATGCCACAAAAGAAGTCTTAACAAATTTAATAAACAAGTATTATTACTGACTACAATGGAATGAAACTAGAAATAAATAGCAGAAGGAAAACTGGAATATTCACATTCACAAGTATAAAGAAATTAAACCGCACAATCTTGAACAATCATTGGGTCAAAGTAGAAATAAGGAAATTAAGAACAATTTGAGACAAAAATGAAAACATAACATACCAGAATTAATGGGATACAGCAACAGCGAGAGGGAAAGTTATTGTGATAAATGTCTATACTTTTTTAAGAATAAACAGATGACCCAACTTCATACCTTAAGGAGATAGAAAAGAACAAACTAAACTCCAAATTAGCAGTAGAAAGGAAATAACAAATATTAAAGCAGAAATAAAATAGAAAATAGAAAAATAATAGAAAAAAATCACCACTTACAGTTGGAATTTTAAGTTGAGAATTGACAATAAAATGCTGGTATAATTATAAAGAACATAGTACATCAAATTGCATTACTTCAATAGTCTTAAGTTACCTAGACTCTACATCCAATGTAATTTCTATCACAGGAGTGTCTGAATCCTCAAAGACTTTTTCCAGGGTTATATGTCTTTCCATTTCTTCTAATTCTTTCAGGCACCGATAATACTAGGGAAAAATGATAAATAAATTTATTACAAAATAACTATTTCCTAATTAAACTATTTGGAGTATTTATAGATACCTGGAACAATTGCTACTGGGAAATTAAGTGCCCAAACCCCAACAACACTTATGGAACATTAAAAGGCAAACACTGCGTAGGTCCATAGTCAGCTTACGTTATCTGATAGGCTGGAGTCTGATGCATTACCAAATGGACTTTGCTTACCTTGGTCCGGTCGGGATCACAGTAGTCTAAGAGAGAATCACAAAAATGATATCCCATTGATTCCAGGTCCTTTGTACTGAAATGAGTGCCTCGCTTATTACCTAAAACATCAATAAGTTTATCCACCCTTGAGGATAAGTTAATAATTTTTCTTAGCAGGTACATCGTAAAACAGAGTATTAACAAAACATTGATATGATTCCATATCTTGTCCTTCAGATTTTCTTCGCCGGGGCAGGTCATGTAACAGCTCATTGCTTTCCCTTCTTCCTTTTCCACCATCTGGACCAAAGCTGATTTAACGCACATTAGTGTATGTTGTAAAGGCAGAAAAATAATTCAATAAGACAGTTATACAATATTTGGTTGCTAGTTAGAAACAGTCGTAATAATCACTTTGAGAAAAACTTGCATAAAGATTTTATGAGAAAAGGTTTTCATCATTACAAATAATGTTATATCATTTTCAAAGTGCTTTAAAAACTAGCTGGAAAGTACATGTGTGGATTTCCAGCACTTTAAGTTGATACATTTTCTGATAATGTGACAATTATTTTAATATGGAGTATCTAACCATGTTAGGATATGCTAGATGTAACTAAAAGATTTCTTAAATGGGACCACAATGCACATTTTTTTTTGTTCAGAGTGCTTTCATTTAAACATGTATTGACCCCAAAAAGTCCATTTTGCCTTACAAATAGCAAATCAGATAAAAATATTTTTTAAAAATCTGTAGATATTCCCTTAAGAATAACAAGCATTTAAAAATTAGCATATGAAATAAAGAACCATTCTATTTTCATGCTTAAAAGTTCCTTTCTAAACAAAGAGAAATGATGAAATAGAGATACCGTATAGTGGGAATTTATTCATCCTGTTTACAGAATTGATTAAATATTAGTATTATTTAAGTAGGAAGAAGGTGGTATTATGTGTACTATTAAATTTATACTAAATTATATATGTTGGGTTTAAAGCTTTGAGAGCTGTGAATGAGAACCCTTGGTCTTACCCAGAGTAGATCCACAAAAGGTGGCCTCCATGGTAAAGCTGTTCCTGATTCCCATTTTCCACATTACCACCCTTCCTGTTCCTTCTTTGCTCTTCTGGACATTAAACTTGCAAGCTGAGAATGAAAACTGAAAGGAAGCAAGTAAAAATGAGACTCGTTGTTCTGGTACCTTTATAGTTTTTTGGAAGTAGTATTAAAAATGAAAAAGCGGTTATGCAAAATCTGTAATTCTCACTAAAGCTTCTGCAGCTATTTTTTATTTCATGACCCATGGAAAAAACTCATTTTAAGGATGTTAAATTGTTCACATTTCTGAGAACTATAGATTCTAATTCCTGCAATAAAATTTACTGTTTTTATAGAAAGATATGCATATATCTTTATGTACCATATATATTCAAAATCAGATCTTTTTCAAATTTTAAATTTTTGCAGATACACAGTAGGTTTATATATTTAGGGTGTAAATGAGATGTTTTGATAAAGGTATGCAATGTGTAATAATCACATCAGCATAAACGGGGTATCCATCACCTTAAGCATTTATTGTTTGTGTTAAAAACAATCCAATTATACTCTTGGTTATTTTAAAATGTATAATTAAATTATTATTGACTACAGTCACCCTCTTGTGCTGTCAAATACCAGTTCTTATTCTTTTTTTGTACCCATTAACCATCCCCACTTCTGCCCTCCCCCACTACCATTCTTAGCTTCTAGAAACCATCCTCCTATTCTCTGTATCTAGGAGTTCAATTGTTTTAATTTTTAGCTCCCACAAATTACCGAGAACATGTGAAGTTTGTCTTTCTGTCCCTAACTTATTTCACTTAACACAGTATCTCCAGTTCCATCCATGTGTTGCAAAGGACAGAATCTCATTCTTTTTTATGCCTGAATACTTATTCCATAGATGTACCACATTTTCTTTATCCATTCATCTGTTAATGGACACGTAGGCTGCTTCCAAAAGTTGATTAATTCTCGATATAGTTGAGATAAAATTTTATACTTTTAAAAAAGTTCTAGGAAGGGATTCAGTCTTCATTCATGTTAGGAATGAAGATTAGTGTTGGAGATGTGCAAAAATAAAGTTTCTTTATATGAAAGACCATTTGAAATTATGTCCTGAAAGTTTGTCTACAAAGATATCAGTGTTTACAAAGACATTTTTTGAGGTGCAATTTTGTTTTTTCAGTAACGTACAATAAAATTAACTTTTAGTGTTTCATTCTGTGTATCTTTTTGTTTTGTTTTTTGAGACAGGTCTCTGTCACCCAGGCTGGAGTGCAGTGCTACGATCATAGCTCACTGCAGCATCAAACTCCTGGGCTCAAGCTATCCTCCCACTCCAGCTTCCCAAATAGCTGAGACCACAGGTGCTTAGCACCACACCTAGCTATTTTTGTATTTTTTTTCATAGAAATGGGATCTTGCTATGTTGCCCAGGCTGATCTCAAATTCCTGGCCTCATGCAATCCTCCTGCCTTGGTGTCCCAAAAGTGCTGTGGTTACAGGTATGGGCCACTGTGCCCAGACTCATTTTATGAATTTTAACAAACACATATAGATTCTTGTAACCACCATCACACTCAAGATACACAACAGTTCTATAATCCTAACAAGATAATTGTAGTCACATCCTCCTGCCACCTCGAACTCCTGGCAACCATTGATTTGCTCTCTGTCACTATAGATTTGCTTTTCCAAGACTGCTATATAAATGGAATCATATAGGATGTAATCTTTTGAGACTAGCTTCTTCCACTTAGCCTAATACTTTTGAGATTTATCCAAGTTGTTGCATGTGTGAATATTCATTCCTTTTTATTGCCAAGTACTATTCCATTGTATGGGTGCACTAAAATGTATATCCATTTACTGGTTAAAGGACATTTTGCGTTGTTTCCAGCTTTTGGCAATGACGATAGAGTTGTTATAAATGCTTGTGTATACAGGTTTGTATATAAATGTATATTTTCATTTCTCTAGGGTAAATACCTAGAAATGGATTGCTGAATCTATAAGTGTACAATTTACTTTATAAGAAACTGACAAACTACTCTTCAAAATGATAGACCATTTTGCATTCCAAACAAAATGTACACTATGAGAGTCCTAGTTACTCCAAATTCTTGTTAAAACTTGGGATTGTCAGTATTCTATTTTAGCAATTCTAACAGGATGTAATTTTGTCTCCTCATGGTTTTACCTTGCAGTTCCCTGACAGCTACTGATGTGAACATCTTTTCATGTACTTATTTGCCTTCACATATCCTTTTTGGAAACATGTATTTAAGGTTATTTCCATTTTTAATTGGGTGGTTTGTTTTATTACTATTGAGCTATTCTGGATAAAAGTTCTTTGTGAGATATGTGATTGCAAATAATTTCTCTTATCTGTAGCTTATCTTTGTATTGGCTTAACAGGATCTTTCTGAGAACAAAAGCACTAATTTTGATGAAGTCCAATATATCAATTTATTACAATCCAATGGATAATGCTTTCGGTATTTTCTAAGAAGTTTTTGTCTAATTCCATGTCATAAAAATTTTCTTCTGTGTTTTCTTCTAAAAGTTTTACAGTTTTACATTTAAGGTTTGAGGTGTAGGTGAAAGTTTGTTTGTTTTTTATATGGATGTTCAATTGTTCCAACACTTATTTATTGAAAGGTTTCTTTCTCCATTAAATTTCCTGTGCACCTTTGTCAACAGGCCATATGTATATGGGTCTGTTACTAGACTTGCTATTCTGTACCATTGCTCTTGGTGTTTTACACAGTTCCTATTAACATGCTATCTTTATTACTGTAGTTTTATACTGTCTTAAAATTTGATAGTATGATTCCTTCAACTTAATTTTTTAAATTGTTTTGCCTATTCTAGTTCCTTTGCATTTCCTTATTCATCTTATAATCAGCCTGTTTATAAACAATTATGCTGTGATTTTATCTGAAATTCTGTTAAATCTACAGATCAATTTAGGGAGCCGATGTCTTACTGTGTTCAGTCTTCCAATCCATAATGCAGCACGTGTCTCTATTTATTTGGGCCTTTGATTTATTTCATTAGCATTTTTAATGAAATAAATCATTAGTTTTAGCATATAGAGTCTGTACATTTTGTTAGAGTTATAACTAAGAATTTATTTTGGAGCTATGATAAAAAATAATATTGTTTTTAACTTTGGTTTCCAATTTTTTCACTGTAAGTATATAGAAATGCAGTTGGTTTTTGTGGGTGGGACTTGTATCCTATGACCTTGCTTAAACCCCCTTGTTCTAGGAGTTTTGTTTTGTTTTGTTTGTGTATCACTTCGGATTTTCTCTGTAGCTAATTGTGCCACCTTCATTACTTCTTTCCAATCTGTCTGCCTTTTCCTTTTGCCTTTTTGTACTGGTTAGAACCTCCTATATAAGACGGCATGAAGTGGGGAAAAGTGGACATTCTTTTCTTCCTGATCTTAGGTGGAAATCATTCAGTCTTTCATCAACTATGCTCTTAGCTGTAGAGTTTTTTGTAGATGTCCTTTATCAGGTTGAAGAAGTACGCTTTTATTCCTTATTTGCTGAAAGTTTTTTTTTTTTAATATATAAACAGATGTCGAATTGTGTTAAAAGCTTTTTTTATATCGATTGATGGGATCACGTGGTTTTTCTTCTTTCGACTTTTAACATAGTGGATTACATTGATTAATTTTCAAATATAAAACCAGCCTTAAATTTTTTTATATATTGCTGGATTAAATATGCTAATATTTTGGTGAAGATTTTTGCATCTATGTTCATGAGGGATATTAGTCTGCAGTTTTCTTTTCTTAGACTATCTTTGTCTTGTGTTGGTATCATGGTAATCCTGGGAAAGACTGTGCCTTTACATTTTTGCTAGAATGCTTCAGTAAATCCAACTGCATAAGGAAACTTCTTTCCTGTAGTTTCCTTTTAGAATGCTTTTCAGGACTATTCAGATTATTTCACCTTGGGTGAGTTTTGATAGTTTGTAGTTTTCAAGGAATTGGTTCATTTCATCTAAGTTGTTAAATTTGTGTGCATAGAATCGAGTTTCCCCTTATTATTCTTTTAATGCCTGCAGGGTCTGTAGTGATACCTCTCTTTCATTCTTGATATTGGTAAGCTGTGTCATCATTGCCTCCCCCTCTTCCTCTTTCAGTTTCTCCTATTCCCTCATAAATCTTGGTAAAGTTTTATCAGTTTTACCAATCTTTTCCAAGCACAAATGTTGCTTAATTGATTTTTTCCATTGTTTCTTGATTTCCAATTTCATTGACCTGCTTGTCTTTATTATCTGCTTCCTTCTGCTTAGTTTTACTCTTCTTTTTCTATTCTTATTGTGGAAATTTAAATTGTTAATTCAAGACCTTTGTTCTTTTCTTTTTTTCTTTTTTGAGATGGAGTCTCACTCTGTTGCCCAGGCTGGAGTGCAGTGGTACAATCTTGGCTCACTGTAACCTCTGCCTCCTGGGCCCAAGCAATCCTCCTGCCTCAGCCTCCAAAGTAGTTGGGATTACAGGCACAACCATGCTTGGCTAATTTTTGTATTTTTAGTAGAGATGGGGTCTCAGCATCTTGGCCAGGCTGGTCTTGAACTCCTGACCTCAAGTGATGTGCCCACCTCAGCCTCCCAAAGTGCTGGGATTACAGGCGTGAGTCACTGTACCCAGCATGTTCTTTTCTAACATAAGCACTTCTTGCTATACATTTTCTTCTAAGTGCTACTATTTAGCTGAATTTTATAAAAGTTCATGTTGCATATTTTCCTATTCTTTCAGGTCAAGATATATTTTAATGTTCCTTAAGAGTTATTCTTGGGTGTAAGGATTATTTAGAAATGTGGTTTAATATCTACATGTTTGTAGATTTTCCTCTTTTCTTTTATTGATTTAGTCTAATTACATTATGCTTAAAAAACATATTTTGTATGATGTTAATTATTTTAAATTTGTTGATGTTTGTTCTAAACCAGGATGTGATCTGTGTTGGTGCTGTTCCATGTGCATTTGAATAGAATGTATATTCTGATGTTTAGTAGAGTGTCCTGTAAATGTCAAATCCAGTTGGTTGATGTTTAGTTCTTATGTATCCTTGCCTACTGTCTAATATAAGAGGTATTTTAAATCTCCAACCATAATTGTGGATTTACACAAAAAGATTTTAAAAAGTAACATTTAACGGAAAACCTAGAAACAGAAGCTTCCGTGTTTTAAACAACATTTAGATGACATGGAAGACCTGTTTAAACTGCAGAGTGGTTGTTTGAGTTGTTCAAGAAATGGGTCCATTTCATCTAAGGCACTACAGGGTAGAGATCTAAAACCCTAAGAAGCATGTCAATAAACAAACATTAAATATCTTAGTAAAATAGAATTATTTTATGGGAGTAATAAACTATACTTAAGAGTATTGACAGTATACATGACAGGAATAGCTTCAGGTATGAGGTTGAGTTTTCTGGTCTTTCTTTCTGAGGAAATAAATCCTCTTTGGGGAACAAACCTGTTCTTTCTTTAAATAGCTATTTTAATCAGATCATCCTTTCTTTTTTATGTCTCTGGGTCCCAATTATCCCCAGAAGACAATTAATTCTTCTCAATAAGTCCTTTATAATTGAATTGATTGGTTGAAAACTTAGGGGAAAGTCTGCAGGAATTTCCTTTGCTATGTTAACATCTTTTCTCTAAAGAATGATTAAGTGTTTTCACATCTTGGTAAATGTGTGGCTCCAATTTTTCTATCGTTTGTGAAAATAATATACTTTATTCTTTTCTCATTCTAATTTCTGTATAGTTTTGGAATATTGGTTATTGGATTAAGTTTCTTTCCTGGCAAAATTCTAATAAATACTTTGAAGAAACTGGTACACATTTCTTAAGAATACAGTTTTTAGTCTGTATAATTTAGGCACTCAATGAATATTAAAACAATAAAAAAGGCCCTAAAACTGATTGATAAAAATGATGAATAGAGGAAGCTTTCAAAAGGTAAAACAGCAGTGGTATTATGGTGGTAGGTTTTGGGGCATTTTTGCCTTTTTTTCCTCCCCATATTTTCAAATTATTGCTCACTAAGTAGTTCTATATAGTTGCTTTCTTATTGTCAATTGCATACACCAGTCAAAATAAATAAAAAAGCAGCTTGGAATAGTATTATCCATTCTGCTATCCCACATGGCCAACATTTGGTAAAGGAAAAGTTAAAAATCTTAAAGGATGCTTACTTTATCTGGACAATTTTTGCTCAGCATAAGTGGGAAGATTCGTTGCTGTAAGTATAATGTTTTAGATCTGTCACTACCATCACAGCCATACATGAAGATGTTCTCTTTCCTACTATGGCCATGAAGATCACAATATAAAATAACCTCTCGTTTCTCCATCAGTCTGCCAGTAAGAAAGATAAGTTGCTAAGTTTTATCTCTGCATTTTTCTTCTATAGGTACAGCTATGAATTTAGAAGTGTAATATCCAAATAAATACAATTTCTTATATCCTAGCTTTCTCTTGTTGATATTGCATCTATTAGTTTAAATATACAGCTTAAAAAATATTATTATACAGTTAAAAAAATCTATAATAACATATTAGCTATATAAAGATCTGAATGCAGGCTGGGTGCGGTGGCTCACGCATGCAATCTTAGCACTTCAGGAGGCTGAGGCAGGCAGATTGCCTGAGGTCAGGAGTTTGAGAACAGCCTGGCCAATGTGGCAAAACCCCTCTCTATTACAAATACAAAAATTAGCTGGGCGTGGTGGCACATGACTGTAATCCCAGCTACTTGGGAGGCTGAGGCAGGAGAATTACTTGAACCCAGGAGGCGGAGGTTGCACTGAGCTGAGATGGCATCACTGTACTCTAGCCTGGGCCACAGAGTAAGACTCTGTCTCAAAAAAAATAAATTAAAAATAAATAAATAAATAAATCTGAATGCAGTAACTTTCTATTATAAGGACACAATTTACCTTACTCCCAAAACTTTCTCCAACAAGAACTCTCTGCTTTATTATTTTGATTTTTTCACTCTTGCTTTTACCCATTACCTTTCACTTAGTTTCTTTCTGACTGGAATACCTTCTTACTTTATCTTTGTAAATGTAAATGCTACCCACCATCCTTCAATGCTGAACTCATGTCTCACTTCCTTTCTAATTTGTCAAGGCCACAGAGTTTCTCTTTTTGAACTTTGGTAGCACTTAAAGATACTGGTGCCATTTGCATGGCCCTTGTCTAGGAAAGTTTTAATATTCTTTATGTTCAAGCTTATTAAGAATGGAGAATCTTCAAATCATCTAGAAGAGTCCTATGCACATAGTAAGTGCCCAGATATTTGTTAAACATTGAGCGCTTGATGACTTCCTGCTGAAGCCAATTAGTAATTAACCCTGATTAGCGTGGTGACTAAGTTATCATTTTGAGAAAAATGGTACCAAAGTTTGAACTGACTTTTTCTGATAAATTTCTAACAAATATATGAATTATTACACATTCCTGAAGACAACAGCCTTTGATCTATATAATTTAATACTCAATGTAAAAAGAGCAAAACAAAAAATAAATTCCCCCAACTGATCGAAAAATGAGGAGGCTTTCAAAGGTAAGAAAGTAGTAGTGTTAAGGTGGCAGGATTGTTACTTAATCAAAATTACATATACTATTTTCTGTATCTGGTATAATAAATACCAAAATGTTAGCAATAGTATTTATAATATTAAGAAATAGATTCTATTTACAACAAAAATGTTAAAACCTAGAATATAAACATTCGAAGCATTTTGCTTCTATTAGAAACCATACTGCCTTAAACTATAGTGAAATTACAAACTAAAATTTATTATATGTTGATTTATTGCCCTTTTCTCATTTGCTGCCTAATAAATTCTGACTGACAACGTAAAATTGACATAAAGCCACTAAATTATAATTACAAGTTTTTAGAAAACTAAATAGATTATAAGGCATGAATGTCTAATGTTAAGTTTTTAAATATGAAACATGCTGTACATTTTTAAGCTCCAGATTCCTCAGTCTTTCAGTTTCTTATAAGCAAGTCAAAAGAAACTCTACTTCTAAAAAATTAATTACCAAAGAAATGCTATTACTTCTGAAGTAAAACAGGATATTAGGGTCTCTCATCTTACATTAATTTAAATAACTTTAGAAACAGTTTGGATTTCCTTTTTACCCATAGATAGAAATACTTAGTATAAGATTTACCAATAGTTATCTTTATGGGTAAAAAGATATTCTAAGTATCTTATGCTAAGTATTTTATACAAAAATCTACTCTCTCTTATTCTAATATGCTTTAAATATACTTACTCTTATATATACTTACAGCTGCTTACCTTTCCACACATATGTGACTGACTTCTCATCCTACTTACTTGTGTATGATTAACCGCATTACAATATTTCTCTCTCAAGTCTTTTAGAAACTTGCTGAATAGACTCCTGCCTTAACCTTCTTACAAGACAGAGACTAAATGTGACATTTAAAAGAGTTTCCATAGAGAGAAGCCAATGGGCATTGACCTGTCCATCATGTCTCAGACCTGGGACCTCAGTTTCAGAAAGCATGAAGTAGACATTATAGATATTCTATTAGATATGCCATCAGCTCCCTTTATATGTACTTATTTCATATATATATTTATAAAAAATATAAAATTATTTTAAACATCAGTGCTAGCATTATCTTTAGCAAGAAACCAAATTTGGGATATGCAAGTTTAACTATTAGTTTCATCAAGTCATCAAAACATTCTAGAATCTGTTTTGTTATTTAAGGGGAGGTTAATGAATCCAGTGGCATAATGCCAGAGGGTACAGAATCACAGTTGTGAATAATTGGGGAAAAAATAAAGTAGTTATACACTAGTTAGACTAAAGTAACAGTAAAAAGAGTGATATTGTGGGAGCAAAATTCTTACTACCAAGTTTACTAAATAAGCAGAGAGGTAATTTGAGGCTTATTTTACCTACGAACCATGTTCCGGGTATACCATACAGAAGGAAAAGATTCCTTCAGGAGAGATGTGTAATTACGGTTTAAATCCCGTCCAGCTAAGGAACACCGATAATTTCCCACAATCACACCATCTGGATTCAGCATGGGTACCACCTTGAAGACAAAAGTATCCCGAAGCAACTGTGCATCACTTGAGTTTCCTAAAATATAATCTAGGAAGCCTTTCATGATCCAAGAGCTGTTGGTTTCCCCTGGATGGACCCTTGCAGTCAGAATCACAGCCTTCCGCTTTCTTGAGTCAGAGTTCTTCAAGGGGGTAGTGATTGTTAAAATATACACCATGTTCCTAGCAAGCGTGTGGCACAAGACACGTATTTTACAGAACTTTGACCGTACTGGATCATTATTGATGCCAGAAAGGTATTCTTGCAGGTTGGTGTAAGTGTATGGATAACAATGAGCAAAGTAGCAGGTATCTTTGTTGTGTGGAAATTGAAATGTCCATGTAAGAGAGAAATAATGGCGCCCATCTTGCCCTGGGTTGTTCCTATAATACTTGATTTGGTCTCCTATTCTCTGCCAGCCAATATGATGAGCCTTGGCCTCTTTTTCAGAATAGAACAGTGGGCGCATACCCCGATTGTAAAGACTTGCAGGTTTGGTGAAGTTGACAATAGTGAATCTGTAGATGATTCCTGCTTGCATATTAGTGACTTGGAAATAGTACCACTGAGTGTGTTTATTTGTGAAGAGGTCAGGGCGTACAGTCAATTGGTATTCATACTCTGCCCTAATACACAAGAAAGAAAGGGAAAAAAGCACAAAAGAATGTAAAATTGACATTTTGTAAAAAATGAATGTAAATTTTTTAAAAAAGGAAAATTATTTTCCCTTTACTCATTCACAGAAAGCTTTGTTAGGAAAGAATCTAGGCAGTATCTAATAGCAAGTCATATCAAAAGACAAAAGTTTTGAAATTTTCCCTTTTATTGGATGAGAAACTGCTTCTGTGCTAATTCTAAAGCCTTTGTATTCCATTGTAATTCAAGAGAGCACATAAAAACACAGATACTTGATAAAAGTTTATGTATTTCGCCGGGCGCGGTGGCTCAAGCCTGTAATCCCAGCACTTTGGGAGGCCGAGGCGGGTGGATCACGAGATCGAGAGATCAAGACCACCCTGGTCAACATGGTGAAACCCCGTCTCTACTAAACATACAAAAAATCAGCTGGGCATGGTGGTGTGCGCCTGTAATCCCAGCTACTCAGGAGGCTGAGGCAGGAGAATTGCCTGAACCCAGGAGGCGGAGGTTGCGGTGAGCAGAGATCGCACCATTGCACTCCAGCCTGGGTAACAAGAGCGAAACTCCGTCTCAAAAAAAAAAAAAAAAAAGAAAAAAAAAAAAAGAAAAAAAGTTTATTTATTTCAACCTAATTATATTTTCTATATAAAAAATGATTAAGGAGTTACTGAAACTGAAGCAAAGTCCAACATTTCTTTTTTCACTTCAGACATGTGCATCTATTAGAGTCTAACTCTAGGGACATAAAATAACTACCACTGAAAGATTTAAAAACATATAAATTAAGATGATCACATAGATTATATAATTTGAACTATTTGAGGACACTGGAGATGCTTAAATCAAGGCACCAATATTAATTTCACTGGAATGTTATTTATATACATAATAATATTACCTGGTTAGCCATGGCTATTTTTCTCTACAAAGTGACTTTCTATTCTATCGGCACTCTGCACTTAGTATGTAATCTGTATGTGTACAGTTGTAAATAATGACCTAGGAATAGGTAAAATATATGTTGCAAAACCTTGATAGCTGTTGAGTCTAGGTGATAGATATGTGTCAGTGAATGTAGAATTGTATTGTTCTCTGTACTTGAGTGTGTGTTTCAATATTTCCATTATATATATATATATATATATATATATATATATATATATGTTTTTTTTTTTTTTTTTTTTTGAGATGGAGTTTCGCTCTTGTTACCCAGGCTAGAGTGCAATGGCGTGATCTCGGCTCACCGCAACCTCTGCCTCCTGGGTTCAGGCAATTCTCCTGCCTCAGCCTCCTGAGTAGCTGGGATTACAGGCACGCACCACCATGCCCAGCTGATTTTTTGTATTTTTAGTAGAGACGGGGTTTCACCATGTTGACCAGGATGGTCTTGATCTCTTGACCTTGTGATCCACCCACCTCGGCCTCCCAAAGTGCTGGGATTACAAGCGTGAGCCACCGCGCCTGGCCTCATAATATTTTTAAATAAAATAATGCCCTTGGGATAGTCTATGGAACACTCATCCTAAGAACTATTTCAATACAAAGTTTGAGAAACACTGTGTGTGTATGTGACAATTCATATTGCCATATTGAAAATGTACAGTACAGAAGCCTTCTTAACTTTACCTTATAGTTCTCAAAATTATTTGAACTCAGAATCTTTTATACTTCCCTCCTCCACAATAATCTCTAATTATTAATAGTATCTATAAACTAATTCAAGGAATTAGTTTAATAATGGATAATAAGAACTTTAATGTACTTGATATAGAAAATAAATAGTTGATAGTCTAGTTCCTCAAATAAAAATAATTATAACCTACACTTTGACTACCTTCTGTAGATTACCACTCTCAAACCTTGCTTCAAACATCAAAGTATTGTCACAGTAATCCATAGGTTGCTTCAAAGGTGTTCGGTTACCGCCAACTCGGGAATACACAAAACAGGGCTCTTTGTAAGCTGATGAGAGAAGAAGATCATAAAGATGTCAAAACATACCTAAAGTAAGACGGTTGTTCTACACAGTTTGGAGCAATAGTACAAGTATAAGGATTGTAAATTTTAAAGTAACTTGATACTAATTTATATCAACATGTTGAAATTAAAAAGTCTAAGAGTGTTTAGGCTAGGAAAACTATGCCTAAAATAAATTTGTATATTTATTACACAAAAAAATATTCGTTTGGCCAGGCGCAGTGGCTCACATCTATAATCCTAGCACTTTGAGAGGCCGAGGCAGGCAGATTGCCTGAGCCCAGAAGTTCAAGGCCACGTGGGGCAACATGGTGAAACCTTGTCTCTACTAAAAATACAAAAAAAAAAAAAAAAAAAGAAAAAGAAAAACTTATCCAGGTGTGGTGGCATGTGCCTGTAGTCCTAGCTACTCAGGAGACTGAGGCAGGAGAATCACTTGAACCTGGGAGGCAGAGGTTGAAGTGAGCAGAGATCACGTCACTGCCCTCCACCCTGGGTGACAGAGTGAAACTCTGTCTCAAAACAAAACAAAACAAAACAAAAAACACTCCACTTCTGGTCATGATGAAGCAATTGGTTCCGAACTTTCCCTTTCACCATAAATGACTATAAAACTGGATAAAAAATATGAGCTGTTTTCATGCATTTTGACAATGCGTAGAACAACTATGGTAGGATCTTTGAAAGAAGATCAATACATGAAGTGAGCCCATGTATAGCCTTGGTTTTCTGCATAGGGCTAGTTACTGGACTAAAGCCTAGAAAGGTGGCATTTTAGAACAGCATGACAGTCTTGAGCTGAAGAGTTAAGACTGTTGCTTGGGACTGCTGAAATCTGTGGGACAGAGCGCTAGGGAGAAGAAAGCTACATAGAGGAGAAGCTCAATAAGTCTCCATAGTGGTTTCCCAGTCCTTGGATGAGGGTTTGGCTACACAGTCAAAAGATGAGACTAAGAAAGATAGGAGAGAGCACTACTGCATGCTGAGATGCCAGAAGACATACATTGCTGGGATATATTAGAATTCCAACTTATCCAGAGTGGAAAGATTTTATGGAATACCTTAGGCATTCAATTGTGACTCCAGAAAGCCTGCATCTTAGGCATAAGGATCATACTCAAGAGTAAAGGCCATGACCTAGGACTGAAGATAAAATGAAAACAGACCTGCCCTTATACAAAATAAAAGCAAGCCTGAGAGAAGCAAAATGATCTGCCAGCAATTTAATTGCCTGCTAGAACAAAATTCAACATAATGTTTAAAAGAACATAATACAGGCTGGCTGCAGTGGCTCATATCTGTAATCCTAGCATTTTGGGAGACTGAGGAGTGTGGATCACCTGAGGTCAAGAGTTTGAGACCAACCTGACTAACATGGTGAAAACCCATCTCTACTAAAAATACAAAAATTAGCTGGTGTGGTGGTGTGAGCCTGTAGTACCAGCTACTCAGGAGGCTGAGGCAAGAAAATTGCTTGAACCCAGGAGGGGGAGGTCTCAGTGAGCTGAGATTGTGGCACTATACTCTAGCCTAGGTGACAGAGCAAGACTCCATCTAAAATAAATAAATAAATAAAAATAAATAAAAGGACATAATACAGACTCCCTAAAACATGTTATGCATATGATATAAATGATATACAATGTTCTGCATATGATAAAAACATACAGCATTCAGAGAAGCAGGAAAATGTGATCATGAATACATATAAAATTCAGCAGACTCCAAGATAATGCAGTGTTGGAATTAACAGAGAAGGACTTTGAATATATATTCAAAGACGAAAATGAAAAGATAAGAGATCGTGAGAAAACAGATAAGTAATCTCAAAAAAGAAAATGAAACTAAAAAGAACCAAATGAAAATTCTAGAAATAAAACTACAATAACTGAAATATTTACAAATGGGTGGAAGGTTTCATTATTTCACACTATATTAATAAATCATACAATCATTTTGTATGCCGTAAGTGTATACAACTATAATTTGCCAATTTATAATTGAAATTTTTTAAAAGGAAAAAAGGTTAAAGCTTGCAAAAGTAATAATCGGTGAACTTGAAAACAAATACAAATTGTCCAAACTGAAAGACAGAGAGGGGAAGAAAATGGACAAATATCCACTGACATGTGGGGACGTATCTAGAAATCCAACACTTGTGTAATTGGACTTCTAAAAAACAAGAAAGAAGGAATGATATGGAAAAAATACGTGAAGAAATAATGGCTGAAATTTTCTCAAATTTTGGTACAAAATCCCAACTAACCTATGGATCTAAGAAGAAGTTCAGCAAACTCCAAGCAGGATAAATATTAAGATAACCAAATCTAGGCACACCATAGTCAAATTGCTGAAGACAGCCAGAGAAAAAAAGACACATTACATACAGATGGTGTTCTACTTATGATGGTTTGACTTAACGATTTTTCAGCTTTACAATGGTATAAAAGTGATATGCATTCAGTACCCTCCTTGACTTACAATGAAGTTACACCCAAATAAATCCGTCATGAACTAAAAATATCATAAGCTGAAAATACACCTTTGACTCATGGTATTTTCAGCTTAAAACTGGTTTATTGAGAGGTAACCCTAATTGAAGAATATCTGTATCAGAAACAATGATACAGGCATACCTTGTGTAATTGTGCTTTGCTTTATTGTGCTTCACAATTTTTTTTTTTTTTTTTTTTTTTTTTTTTTTTTTTTTTACAAATTAACAGTTTGTGTTGAGCAAGACTGTCAGCACCATTTTTCCGGCATGTGCTCACTTTGTGTCTCTGTGTCATATTGTCATATTTTGGTAATTCTCACAACTTTTAAAACTTTTTCATTATTATGATATCTGTTAGGAGTGATCTTTGATGTTACTGTTGTAATTGTTTTGGGCCACCACAAACTGCACCCACATAAAATGGTGAACTTAATTGCTGTGGATTCTGACTACTCCACCATCACCCAGTCCCCCATCTGTCTCCCTCTCCGTGGGCCTCCCTACTCCCTGAGATACAACAGCATTGAAATTAGACAATTAATAATCCTACAATGGCCTCCATGTGTTCAAGTGGAGAGTCACACATCTCTCTCAAAATCAAAAGCCAAAAACGATTAATCTTAGTGAGGAAGGCATGTCAAAAGCTAAGAAAGGCCAAAAGCTAGGCTTTTTGTTTCAGTTAACCAGGTTGTGAATACAAAGAAAAAATTCTTGAAGAGAACTAAAAGTGCTACTCCAGTGGACACACGGATGATAAGAAAACAGTCTTACTGTTGATACGGAGAAAGTTTGGTGGTCTCGATCAAACTAGCCATAACATTCCTTTAAGCCAAAGCTGAATCCAGAGGAAGGCCCTAATTCTCTTCAATTGTATGAGGACAGAGATAGGTAAGGAAGCTGCAGAAGAAAAGTTTGAAGCTAGCAGAGGTTGCTTCATGAGGTTTAAGTAAAGAAGCCATATTAATAACATGAAAGCACAAGGTTAAGCAGCATGATGCAGAAACTTCAGCAAGTTATCCAGATGTAGCTAACATAGTTGAAGAAGGTGGCTACACTAAGCAACAGCTTTTAAATGTAGACAAAACAGCCTTCTATTGGGAGAAGATGATATCTAGGACTTCCCTAGCTAGAGAAGAGAAGTCAATGCCCTGCTTCAGAACCTCAAAGACAGACTGACTCTCCTCTTAGTGGTTAATGCGGCTGGTGATTTTAAGTGGAAGCTAATGCTTATTTACCATTCTGAAAATCCTAGGGCCCTTAAGAATTATGCTAATTCTATTCTACCTGTGCTCTCTAAACAAAACAACAAACCCTAGATGAAACCACATCTGTTTGCAGCACGGTTTACTATTTTAAGCCCATTATTGAGACTGACTTCTCAGAAAAAAAGATTCCTTTCGAAATATTACTGCTTATTGACAATACACCTAGTCACCCAAGAGCTCTGATGGAGACACCTAGGAGACTAGCCTTGTTTTCATGCCTGTTAACAAAACCACTCTGCAGCCCATGGATCAAAAAGTAATTTCAACTCTCAATTATTCTTGTTTAAGAAATAGATTTGGTAAGGCTATAGCTGGCCTAGATAGTAATTCCTCTGACGGATTTGGGCAAAGTAAATTGGAAACCTTCTGGAAAGCATTTTCCGTTCTAGAAGCCATTCAGAACATTAGTGATTCATGGGAGGAAGCAAAAATACCAGTATTAACAGAAGTTTAGGAGAAGCTGATTTCAGTGCTTGTGGATAACTTTGAGGGCTACACAATTTCACTGGAAGAAGTAACTGCAGATCTGGTGGAAATAGCAAGAGAACTAGAATTAGAAGTGGAGCCTGAAGACATGACTGAATTGCTTCAATCCCATAATAAAACTTGAATGAATGAGGAGTTGTTTCTTATGGATGGGCAAAGAAAGTGGTTTCTTGATATGAAATTTATTACTGGTAAAGATGCTGTGAAGATTGGCAAAATGACAAAGGATTTAGAGTATTTCATAAACTTAGTTATAAACTAAGGATTTCATAAGACTGACTCCCATTTTGAAAGAAGTTTTACTGTGGGTAAAATGCTATCAAACAGCATCACATGCTACAGAGAAATCGTTCATGAAGAGTCAATTGATATCACAAATTGTCAAAGTCACTCTACCTTCAGCAACCACCACCCTGATCAGTCAGCAGCCATGAACACTGAGACAAAATCTTCTACCAAACATGAATTGCTGAAGGCTTAGATGATCATTAGAATTTTTTTAGCAATAAATTATTATTTTTTGCATTTTATCTTTATTTTTCTCTGTTTTTTCTTTTTGTACTTTAGGTTCTGGGGTACATGTACAGAACATGCAGGATTGTTGCATAGGTACATACATGGCAATGTAGTTTGTTGTCTCCATCTCCCCGTCACCTGTATCTGGCGTTTCTCCCCATGTTATCCCTCCCCAATCTCCCCACTCCACCACTGTCCCTCCCCTGGCCCCCCTGAACAGACCT